GATAAAAAAAAAAGTAATCCATGATGTATTCTAAGGTATTAGGGCATTTTTAGTAAGAGGTTTAAAAATACAAACTTATGAGGTTTACCATTATAAGGAAGATGTTTAAGGTTTGTTTTTCCAAACCAGGTTGGAGATATCAAACCTCATATAAACCTCCAAGTGGGCATTAAATAAATATAAAAATAAAGAAAAGATAGTAGAAAAGAATAATTTTAAAATAAAGTAACTAGGAAACATGCAGGACTCGTCTAAAATAAATATGTGAGGTTTATTGTTATTGGAGGTTTGTGATGTAAGAGTAATATTAAGGTTTTGGATAATGTAACACATTGGAAAATGAAAAAGGTAGTTTAGGAGGTTTTGTCGTTAAAGATGATCTTATGGTTCAATTCTATAGTAGCCTTGACAATGAAACTGTTGGCATACCTTTGTAGATAGCTAACTCAGAAAGAAAAATATATATATTTTTTTTCATATTATTACCTTGTATATATTCAAAAATTAATTAATTAATCAATACTTTTTTACTACTATAATTTAAGATAATAAATCTTGTAAATTGGCAAATAGTGTACCTAATCAAATTAATCAAAAATTAAATGTTAATTACTATATTAGTAATTAAAATTATAATACAACAAATAAAAATAATATATAGTAATTTAAATTGAAATCATAGAAATTTCATTCATATATGTTCTGTGCATTGGGTATAGGCACAAAGTTAGTTATATGATATGAGCCGATTGTGAGTACATTTCGTCTCGTTTGATAGACGAGTCCCAACTCGAGCTGGTTTTAAGGTTGATTCGGTAATGAGCCGGGCTTGACTCAGTTTGGCTCGTTAAGGCTTGAAAGGAGTAATTTTTTTTTTTTTTTTTTTATTTTCTATAGTTCGTCTTGGTAAGGCTCAAACTCGACTCGTCAATATTGATAAACGAGTCGAGTTCTAGTTCAATTACTGATTTGTTTAAGTAACGAGCCTAGTCCAACCAAACTTGACTAGTTAAAGGCTCGAATTGGAGTTTGAGTTCGAGTTCATTCGTTTACACCCTATGCACTAGTGAAGAAAAAAAGAAACAAAATGCCTTGAATATGTGTTGTTAATTGTTACTGCCTATTGCTCAACTTAATTCGGGAAAACAAAAGGCAGGAAGCTGTCAGATTTTCACCGGTGGCCGCAACAGCTTTTAAGCCCTACCTCTTGGCTCCATTCCCATCTGAGCTTTCTACTTTGAGTCAGCAATCTATTTTTCCTCCTCTAAGTTGTTGTCACACCTCATATTATAACATTTATATTTTGTTTTCTTTAATTGTGTAAGATTGGAATGTTTTCTAGTCACATACACCATTTTGTTGTCAAAATATTTACAGGTCAGGAGGAAAATTAGCTGTATAAAGAACATCTATGCTAGTGGCAAGATGAATACTTATTAAATGATATGATAAAATTCATCAACATTATTAAACTTGAAGCAGCCTTCTGATAAGTTGTCTAATAGTTAGACAAAAACTCTTTCTAACATATATACATATTTTCACACTCAAATGTAATAGTACAATATAAAATATGGTATTTTATAGTATAAAAAAATATATATTTTCACTACTAAAAAATCATCAAAATCAAATGAAAATTTCAACAATAATATTTAACACAATATTTAACAATATAACTCAGATGGTCATTTCCAATGAATACTTTAATGTCACAACTTCCGTTAGCGAATTCCCTATTGAAAAGTTATGTTGAAATTGATTTGGGATTCGAATTTTTATCTTATTTTAACAATTTCAATAGTTAGAATTATTGGAGGAAAAAACAATTCAGGGAAATTGTATATTCTAACAAAAAGCTATACAACAATAAATGGTTGTGAAAATTATTATTGGAATTATCAAATTCCAACTATAATTTCAATATAAGTTAACTTCAACTGAAGGTTTCTACTTATTCTAAGTTTGTATTTCCAAAAATTACTTATAACATTAGAATAAAGATTTAAACTTTCTCCTCTCTTCCCCTGGTTGATCTTTATGATCCCTTGCTTTCATATGTTTGAGATCAAGAGTGCGATAAAGCTTCTAAGGGCATGAAGAAGTTGATGGAATTTCAAGGAATTAAATTCATAAGAATCAAAAGTTTCATGTTAGAATTTTTCTATGGAATTTTCTTTTGAATTTAGTATTTCCTTTGTAGTATTTTAAAGAAATTATGGCTAGTGAGTCTAACACAATCATTTGTAGAATTAAATTGTTAGTTGGTGATGGAAATTGGATATGCACTGAAAAGTTTAGAAAATTAAGAATGAAATATGGTTTGAGAGCAATAGAATGATGGTGGATATGTAGGAGGGTGTATACAGTTGGGATTTCAAATGACATTTTAAAATTTTTTGAAATTTGAGATTTATTAAGATTTTTAGATTTTGGACCAATCTTGTTAAATCAGTAGGATTTGAAGTGAGATTTCGTACAAGATTTTTTCTCTAGACAATAAATGTTAAAAAGTCCGAACAAATTATAGTTTCAAATAAGTTAAATACCTTAAAATTTTGTAAGACTTTTTAAAATTTCAAATAAATAACTCAATACTTCTATAAGTCTTAAAAAATCCTAATAAATCTAAATTAAATACACAAAAAAAAATTTAAAATCTTAAAAAGTCTTTGAAAATCTTATAAATACAAACACGTACTACGGGTGTTGCTGTCTTCTGCCTGCATATGTACCCGCATTTAATACTCCCTTTGACGATACTATAATAAACTTTGATTGATCGGAAAATGCCCACCCAATTTGCCTCCTCAATCACATGATCGGGTATTCAACCATTTTTTTTTATCCAAGACTTCTTATTATCATGTAGTATATAAGTTAAAAAAATAAAAATAGTGCCCACCCAACTTGAGTTAATTTTCATGGCTTGAAATTGAATTTCAATATTATTTGAATTATATAGGTGATGTTAGTGGTATATTTATTATCTCAAAATTAATAACCGATATTTAAGGGTGATAATTTTATTCGGTACTAGAAAATTAGTTGATGGAAGTGGAATATCTAAAAAGTCTATCTCGTATTAATTTTTTAAAGAATTGATTACCCTTTATTTATACAATAATATAAAAATGTAAAAAGACCACAACAATCAAAGTTATACTAGGTAATGACTTATGTCACATGTGCGCGGGTCTTGAGCTGTAGGTAGGCTTTGAGTGTAGGTATTTGTACTATGATTTGGACTTGGACTTGGTCTATGTGGGGCTAAAATATAAATTTGGTTCTATAATTTTGACAAAATTTAATTTTTTACCCCGTCATTAATGTTACATCACTTTGGGTCACGAACAAATTTGAACACCCACGCCTCAAACGGTTCTCTACCTTAAGCTCCGATGACTTGCAATACGTCGGGAGGAGGTCTTGGTGGAAAACTCTCCGACGCTCAAATCATAACTTGCTCGAAACTTTATAAATTATTATATAAGTAAAATACGTAGAATGTGATCATGGATGAAGAAGAACCTTTCACGCTTATAAAGGGCATATACTTTGGAGCCGAAGAGAGTCTTGATAGGGAAGGAATCCAACCAGATCCTACTTCCCTAACTACCACGTCTCTATCTAGGTAAGAGTCCTCGAGCGAGCGATTTTTTCCTTTTTGCTAGGATTCTTTCTCCTTTTACTGTATTAGCCCATGGGTCTTTAAGTCACAACTTCGACCTTCTGATAGATCTGCTTTGGCCTATCCGAGGTCTAACCTGGCCTCTTTCTGAGGTCTAACTTGTCCTCAGACCACCCGACCTCGATAACTCGAGGTCGAATACTATGTCCGGTTCCTGGAGGTGGGCACCCCTAGTGATGTAGGGAAGTGTAGGAGTGATACAATATTAATGAGATCGCAATCTCAAGAACAACTAAATACTATATTAATTCATTTTTTCATTCTTAACTGAATAAAACAATAGATGGGGAGTCATTTAAATAAGACTTCTAAACTCTATTTGTCCAACAAGACAAGATCTCTTACTAAATATTAAATAATAATATTAAATTCTTAACTTTTTCTCCAAAATTAAATAATAATAATAATAATAATAATAATAATAATAATAATAATAATAGATACTAGTCTACACCACCTAGGTCGTATCTCTCTTAGGTAGCTCGACACCTTAACCCCGTATACGAGCTACTTGACTGAGCATCTTACTTTTTTACATGAGAGAACTCTCTTAGCCTGGCCTAATCGAGCTACCTGCTTAGGCCGGCCTACCGAGCTGTTTCTGAGTGCTACATCATCTAGCCGCCCCCTCCCCCTCCCCATTTCAGGACGAGCTGAAGGGACTTGTGCTGAAATGGACTTTGCTCTTAGACCTTTGTATCTAGCCTTTTTCTGAATTCAGTGTACTAGATAACCTTGGGAGAGCATGAGATGCCACAAAATGGCTTTTTACATGCTTAGATCACGATCTTCGCACAGTGTCCACATGGACACGCCTTATCGTATTCTGGGCGCGATTCTGAGCCGTTGATTCATGCGCCTTCTAACTGTCGGATCTATCCTCCTTAGTACGTCTTATAAAAGCTTACCTTAGGCTGCTATTCCTTTCTTTCTTCACTGACCATCTTCATTTTTACCTTATAAAAGTCCTCTTTGCTCTTAAGTCCTTATCACAGTTTTGAAACCCTGGATCTGTTCTACGAACCTTTCGAAATATTGCGCTGTAGAACATTTGATGGGTATGTTCTAGACTTCCTTTCTCTCTGCATACTTGTCTTTTGTTTTCTTTGATGCCTCAATCTGCATCCCTTGGTTCCTTTGCCCTTCTTCACAAATTATTGAGGTCATCTTCTTTTCTCTTTTGTCATGTCGTCGAGCTCTTTAACTTCTTCTTTTCTCTATTATTGAGGTGCCATAGACCTTTCACCAGCTGACTATTTTTGTCGACCTTCCTCCATTCCAGTCGAGCTCTACTCTAGTACCATTGCTGATGCTGCACTTCGGCAGTGCCGCTCAGGGCACAACCCCGATGAGAAAACCACGCTCGAAGAAGCGGAAGACAACTGAAAGGTCGCTAAAGCCAGGGTTGGCTAAGGTCTATCTGGGTCCTAATGCGACTGAGGCCCCTCCAAAGCCAAAGGTGGTTGATGTCCCCACAACTGTTGTCTTGGAGATGGCGAAGAGGCTAGCGGTCTCCAACGATGTTGGTAGCCATTTAGCCTATCTGGTATCTATTTTCCTAGAGAGGAAAATGGACCGGTGGTGGGGTGATCGGACTCTCCAAGCATCTCATGGTCTCTCGCACACCCTTCAGGACTTCAGGTACAACTTTACACCTTTCAGCACGCTCGCTTTTGTTTCTAACTTTTTAGCTAATAACTTTTTGTTTTTGTC